GATTACTCTGGTACCAATTTACCGTCTCCGAAGGGTAGAGCTTGCTTGGCCCACGGGCGGAAATCGAACCTGGGTCCGACCTGGTCTTATAAAAAAGACAGAGTTTAAATGATCACCTGCAGTTCCGTCATCTTTCCAGCTTTTCTCAGCATGTCCGCGATAGCAGCGCCGTGTTTTGCATTGAAGGGACTACATATGACCTAAACTGGAAGCACCACTGAGTCACTGTGTGCATCGTAACCAGAAAGCGTTTAGTATCTATTCAAAACATTTAGTGCAAAGAACAACTCACTAGATATGACCAAATCAATGTGAAGATCATTTTCATACGTACAAAAGTGCAATGGCAACGCTCCGCAGTATGCGCGTAGTGATGTGATGCACTGTGCGGAGCTGTCGCCGTTACACATGTAAGTAGGAGTAATAAAGGCAACTAGTCTCACCATTATATCCACGACGCCAGGGCCATCATGACCGAGTGCGAGCACAACAATATTTTGAGCTCGTTCTTGTCTAAGAATCGTCACGAGACCATCTAATGAATCTACACTGTAATTATCAATTTCAAAGTAAATATAGCAGTATCACTAAAACTTACCAAGGCTCGTCCTTGGGCTTTTCTGAGGTAGACTGCTGTTCTTCTTCTTGATCATCTTCGTAATACTCTTCAATGTACTGATTGAAGTAGTCTTGAGATTGCTTGAATTTGGTTCTTTCTAATTCGTCATTTTGAGCATTTGAGTATGACCTTGACCTACAAAATGCCTCGAAGCTTTCATGAAAAGTCATATGACAAACTTACACTAATTGAGGTATCCTCAAAGCAGGCTGTGTAGAAGCGCTATATCGCGAAAGGATTGGCATGGATTGTGACGTCACGTATCCTGAAGCAGTAACTCCGAGAAAGGACAACGAAAATAAACACTGAGGTAAAAGAAATGCATGAGGCCTGTGACCCATGAATTCCACCACGCAACGTCTAAAGCTATATCGTGGGCGTATCGTTACTTGTGAGTGTCGAAGTCGCAGCCGCCCG